GTTTTTTAGATTCCACATATAAGTGAAATCATATGGTATTTGTCTTTTTCTGTCTGACTTATTTCACTTAGCATAGTACCCTTTAGGTCTGTCCATGTCATTGCAAATGGCAAAGTTTCACTCTTTATGGCTAATATTCCATTTTATATACAGGGTGTCTCCCAAAAATGTATACACACTTTAACAGCTGATTTCTATTACATTTTGAAAATGAAATGTATTTTAATAAACACTGCCTTTATAATTATTCAAAGTGTGTATACATTTTTTTGGGACACCCTGTATATGTCACATCTTCTTTATCCATTTGTGTATTGACAGACACTTAGGTTGCTTCCATATCTTGGCTATTGTAAATAACGCTGCAATGAACATATGGATGCATATGTCTTTTGAACTGGTGTTTTGGGTTTTTCAGATAAATACCCCAAAGTGAAATTACTGGGCCCTTCCTTGACTCTTGTTATATAGCTTTTGTTTTAAAGTTTATTTTGTCTTATGGTTTGCTACCCTAGCATTTTATTTTCCATTCCCATTTACACACAATATCTTTTTCCATCCCTTTACTTTCAGTTTGTGTGTGCCTTTTGATCTGAGGTGGGTCTCTCGTAGGCATCATGTGTATGGGTCTTATTTTCTTATTCATTCAGCCATCCTATGTCTTTTGATTACAGCATTTAATCCATTTACATTTAAAGCAATTATTGCTAGGTATGGAGTTAGTGCCATTTTATTATTCATATTTTGGTTTCTTCTTCCTCCCCTCCTCCTCCCCTCCCCTCCTCCTCTCTTCTCCTCCTCTCTTCTTCTCCTCTCCCCTCTTCCTCTTCCTCCAAGTCCCTCTAACATTTTTTGTAATACTGGTTGCTTGTGATGAACTCTTTCATCCCTTTCTTGTCTGAGATCATTAATTCTTTTAACAAACTTTTATTGAGTAGTTACTCTGTGCCAGGCATGTAATAGCTTCATCCCTGTGCAAATCCACGTGGCTAAATTTCAGCATGGTTAATTAAGCTTTTCAATAAACGTGTTTTGTGAGAAGGCAGGAGTAAACAGGGAGGTTGCATCAATCTAAAATCTGCACACATTTAATTCTATAAAACAACTAGGTGGTTCTCAGCCTTTCTAAAAGTCTTCTGGAAATGCAACATTATCAACGAATCTTTTGGAGTCCGTTTTACGTTTGCCTAGAATAAACCTGAATTTATTGATCCATCTTATAAAGTGAAGCTTGAAAAGATTTTCTCCAACTTCCTTTTCTCATCAAAGTGCCCCCGAATGGCCTCTACCTGTAGATACTCTGTGACCCACTGAAAGCTGAGGTGAAGCAGAATCTCAGTCCTTGTCTCAGACCTGCTGAATCAGTTTGCATTTTAATGTGATTCTCATACACAGAAGAGTTTGAGAAGCACTGTTAGACTTTGATACTTGGCTCACAATTGTCCCCGGCCCTTCTTTCTGAACAGAGATAAAGCGACCAGACTAGCAGTAACAGCTGTTTCAGAGACAGGATCTGAACCCAAGGATCCACTTATATACTTTTCCCCATATCCAAGCCCTGCCTGCACAGGAAGTCAGCCACTAAAGATAGGCTGCCTGTAGGAGACATGAGGACATGAGGGACCTCCGAAAGTTGTTCAGCAGGGTGAAAAAGGGTGGAACAGGAAAGGGAGGAAAGCAAGTTCCTGGATTCCAAAAACCACAGTTTGTCTAGGTGCTACTTTCCCCCTTTTTAGCACATAACTTTGTCATAAGACATCTGCTCGCTGACCTCTTTTACGTTCTCATTTTGCCCTCTATTAAAAAGTCACCATCTAAAACTTTTCTCCATGAACTAGAGACTTTAAGTTGTCTGGGGCTCAATGTGCCTGTTTTTCAACAGTTTCTGGCAGTTCCTTGCCTTTATGGTGTAGTCATGGTGAAACTTGAGTCATCTGAACATGGTGGCAGTGCCAAGGAGCTGGGGAAGGAGCTGCTGACAAGCCAGGACAGTGAGGAGCTGGAGACCAGTATCCCTGGGCGCCGGGGCCACTGGCCTTCTTTGGCACAGGAGAGCTACCCCAGGCCTAGCTGTGTTAATACAGATTGCTGCACGCTTTCCAGCTCTAACGAATACCTGCCTGTGGCAAGTGTGTTCAGACACAGCCCAAAGTATAAAGCATCTCCCCGATTGTTTCTCAGAGTCCCAAATAGCAACACCTAACTCTTGCATGTGCTAGCTGAGAAACCACATTTTCCTGATGAGGCAAAAAATATACCTCAATTTTTGTTTTAAGGTAATAGTAAAGTTTTCTCTGGTGCACATTCATATACATTAAACACCTTCCCAGTAAAATGCACCCGTTTGGCGTGTGCGTGTGTGTGTTTGCCATTCCTCTAACATCCTGACTTACAGTCTGAAGAAAATGATTTTTCCCAGCTCCACATAGCTGCTCTGAATTTCTCCTCACAAGAACGCGCCTGTTTACTCACTCGGGGCACCGCCGGTCGGGCACTAAACAGCGGGGGAACCCGGTGGGCGGCGGCGGGCGCCTGTGTGCTCCGCGGGGCNGTGTAAACAGCGGGGGAACCCGGTGGGCGGCGGCGGGCGCCTGTGTGCTCCGCGGGGCGCAGGGACGCGGGGGCCAGGGTGGGCTCCCCGCCTCAGAGACCGATTTCCCACCCGCCTGGATTTGCGACGTTTGCCAGAGCTGCGAGAAGCGCCATTGTGATCCCGCTCGGAGGGGTGGAGCCACCGAGTCCCGTCTCAATTTAGATCGCTCCGCTTTCGGGCGCGCCCATTTCAGACGGCCGAGCTCGCGGGTCGGGGAGATTCAGGGAGGAGGCGGGAAGCCACACCCCGCGCTGCCC